CCAACTCGCTGTTTGTATTGCGTAGCCGAAGGTGTTAATAGTTGTTGTCGCAGCTATCAGTACGTTCATAATAACATTCGATATAATTTATATACATTAACAAATGTACATACATATATATGTACATAAAAACATGAATTATTTGTATTGAATTTGTGACAGTAAAAATACGAAAGAATTTTTGGGTATTTGGTTAGATCTTTGTTGTCGTAATTGGAAGAGTTAAAAATTACATACTTAGTACACTTTATTTCATTTTCTAGAGGTAAACTCAGCTTTTTATCCCAGCGAAATTTAAGATTTTTTTTAGAAAAATAATTATGCTATTTTATTCTTATAAGACTAGGTACTTAAAAAAAATATAACGCAATATTATTTTTTACAACCTTTATTTTATAATCGAAAGCCCCAGAAAATGATATTTCATTACACTGTGGAACAAATTCAGGTTAGCAAAAGTTAGGTCGATTCTGAGAGTGAGGGGTGAAAATAGAGGCTAAATTAGAAGACCCGTATCGCGGCGTTTGTTTATGTTAGTTCGATTTTTTTTTTTAATCGACCTTCGAACTTTGCAGTCAAATGCCGATTTTCAGCATATTGTTTATATGGTTTTTTGGCTATAACTCGTCGACTAATTGATATTTTTTCAATCTGTTAAAGCCAAATTATTGCTAGAGACCTGTGCAACAATTAAAATTAAAAAAAAAAAATTTATTTAGAAAATTTTTGTAGTGCTTATAAAGCAAAATGTTGGAAATTTTTTTTTCCATGCTTTTTGAACATATTTTCCACAAAACTAAGTCTTTTTTGCTTTCTGTTTGATCTATAATATGCTTCTCAGACGACAAATAAGTTTAATAAAAAACTATTAGCAGTTTTAAATGTTGCATCGAACAGGGATCGAACCTAGGTCCTAGTGAGTGGTAATACCCGGCGTGCTTTACTGCGTCTTAAAAGTATTTTGTGTTATTACTCTCTCCAAAAACTCTTACGGCCTCATTCATAGAAAATAAAATAGATTTAAAAGGCCTTATGAAGTGAGATTTTCCAACAAATATGGGTGTTACTTAATATATTTTCGAAGATTCTTAGAAAGTCGGTAAATTATCGAATTTCTCATGGGAATTTAATTTGCAGTCTTATAACTTGAGTCTACATATTTGACAATTAAATTAAATTAAAATTTTCAAACAGGTGGCAACCTTCTACAAAAATATTGTTTGCTGTAAGCCTTCTTAAACTTCTTTCTTTTTACAGCCTAATTCCAGTATTTACTTTAGACTATCAAGTTACTTAAATTGCAATTGTCCTACAGGTGGCACCTCTCTATTTTTCTTTCTTTCTAAAGTTAGACATCTAGCAATACATCGGTGAAAACTGCATTCGATTCCATGCATTAGTTTTCGAGTGATGCGCGTGCAAACATACAGACAGGCAGACCAAAATTCTAAGAAAATGTTGATTTGGCTTCTGTTGCTTGTGTTGTTTTTTAATATCTATAATGTACAGACTTCTGCCAGTTACAATTTTATT